TAAGCATTAGATACCTTTGACATTCTAATGAAGACTACAGACCCCTTCTCAGAATATTGCTTTTAAATATATAAAACAAAATACATATGTCTACAAAAGAAACCAAAAATTGACATGGTTATCAAAGTTTAAAAAAAAAAAAAGTCCATGGACTCCAGGTTAAAAAGACCTGTCTTAAGTCCTAGTGAGGAATGGCTCTTCCCCCTCAGACTTTGTACTTTGTACTAGTACTTTGTACCTCTCTTCTGTACTTACTTATATTATTTTGTACTTAAAAATCTCCAAGATAGCAAGGACTATCTAAATTTTCATCTTTAGCTTTTTAACTCTATCAGCACCTAGTATGCTGGGCATGGTAGGTACTCCATAAATTAGCATTAATAAATAACTTGACAGTGTTGTTTGTCCATCGTTCTTGAAGAAGACTAATGAAATCATGAAGGTGATGTCTTGACTTGCAAGTGAATTGGATTTAAGTGAGCCAGGTCTGTGAAAAGTCACAAGCCTCTGGAATCCTCTGGGTCTAGTGACATGAAATAGATCAGGATACTGGAGATGGCTCTGGATGCAGTGGGAGACGTTGGTTTTTTTAAGCTAAGGTCTTTCCCAGGTCTCAGTTTATCTGAGGCAAAGCCTATTCAATGATTAAGGATAGGTAGGAAATAAGGCCCAAAAAAATGACTTCTTTTACCTAGTCAAAAAAAAATTAGTCTGAGAGGGAGAGATTCTCAGGGTTTCTGGCCCAAACAGAAACAATTGCTACTGACACTCACTCTGAGACATCAAAACCCAAACAATGACCGAGTGAGACTTGGGCTGGGAAAAAAAAAGACTCAAAGGGATAAGACTTTATACAGAATGATAATATTTACTAATAGAAAAAGGGAGGGAGAAAGAGCAGATTTAGGGGGAAAGATAAACTGCTCAGCTACATTGAGTGGGACAGGTAGGTGGAGATGTTCAGAAGACAGTTGGTTTTGTAGGCCTGGACCTCAGAGTCACTGTTATAGACCTGAAGGTTCTTTGCATAGGAGTCATCTTTAAAGCCACAGAAGTAGATGAAATAGCCAAGGTATAGGAAGGATAAAAGAGGAAGGGAGACAGACAGTAATTAAGCACTTACTATGACCAGGGACTGTGCTAAGAGTTTTACAAATATCATTTCATTTGATCCTTACAGCAGTCCTCAGAAGTGGATGCTATTATCATTCCCATTTTATAGCTGAGGAAACTGAGGCAGACAGAGGTTGACTTGCCCAGGACCACATAACTAGTAAATATCTGAGATCAGATTTAAACTCTGACTCCAAGTCCAGAGATCTATCCAATATGCAATCTGGCTGTCTCTGCCTATTTGCCATCAGAAGATGACTGAGGGAACATGCTTAGGGGACAACAACATTTACAAGGTTGGGGAAAAAAAGAACTACCAAATATGATTCACTGTTGGTGGACTAATGGGTGGAAATAACCATTCTGGAAAGCAATTGGAATTAAACACAAAAACTTACTAACCAGTGCATGCCCTCTGGCCCAGTTATACCACTGCTAAACTCATACCCCAGAGAGATGAAACAGGTCCTATATGTAAAAATAGCAGTTCTTTTTGTGGTGGCAAATAACTGGAAACTAAGGGAATACCTGCCAACTGGCTGAACAATGACTGAACAAATTGTGGTGTATGAATGTGGCAGAACACTATTAAGCTATAAAAAATGAAGAAATAGATGATTTCAAAGAGTCACAGAAAGACTTGCATTTACTGATGCAGAGTGAAGAAAGCATAACCAGAAAAACAAATTAAACTATAACAACTTTGAGGACTTTCATAAACTGAGGAAGAAGGAACTGAGCAGAACCAGAGAACAATCTCTACAATAACAATAGTCCTGTAAACACAAACAGCTTTAAAAACTGTAAGAATTGATCAACAGAATGACTATTCATGATGTGAGAGGGCTGATGATGAAGCATGTTATCCACCATCTGACAAAGAGGTGATGGATTGAGGGCATGGAATGAAGGGGTTTTTTTGTTTTTGTTTTTTCACAGTCAATGAGGGAATTTGTTTTGCTCGATTATACTTATTAATTGGTATGAAGAATTTGTTCTTTTCTCTTCAATGAGATGGTATGGTAGGATGGAAAAAAATAAATTTATATTGATTGAAAAAATGAAACCCTAATTTAAAAAAAACCTATGTGTTTTGGGAAAGAGGGTAAATAAACACGTTTATGACTTTGGCAAAAAAAAAAATCTACCCTTTTTTATGTTTTCTTACCACCAAACATAGACTTCATTAGATTTATGCATGTGGACAAATAAAGAGATGAAGCTCCAACCAAACATTCACTAAGTATAAACCTAAATCTATAAATCTTGTTCTGTGAACTATTGCTAACCTTCCCATGCATTGATATAATTTGGCCATGTTTACTATACATGTCCTCTTGATCAGCACTAAATTGTATTTTTTTTTCAAATTTTAATAGAAAAGTAAGCAGTAGCAAATTTAAAAATCATTTTACTCAACTTAATAAGGGATAATTCAAATGTTGGAACAGATCTGTAATCTCTTAGATGTAAGTACATTATTATTAATAAAAGAGTTTTATTCTCCTAGTGCAGAGTTGGTTGCCAAAATGGCACCTGAAGATTAGACCTGGCTACCCCATTCTCCAAGACCTTCAGTCCTATTGTCAAGAATTGTAGAAAGTATTCCTAAAACATTCATTTGAATTGCTTTGGGACGAGTAAATAAATTGTAAATCTTCACTTGGGTTAATATATGCTGTTCCATGAGTTACTGCCCCACATTGCATTGAAATCCAAGAAGCAGATATAATTAAAAATGATCAAAGAGATGCGTAATCACTATCTTCATTCAGTTCTGCTATCTTTCAGTTAACAAAGAAGTTGGATTCTGTTTCTAAATATAACCCTGTGTGTACTGCTTAACTGAAAAATAATTTCTTTTAAAACAATAATCTCTATCCAAACCTGTAACTATACATTTCAGTTGCCTACATATTGTGTTGCTCTGTGAAAATGGTAATTCAGAAGTCTTCTGTGTAGGGCACCATAGTTTTATATCAAAATAGCTAGAGTTGCTAAGAGTTAATTGGCCCTTTTACCTCAAGGTGAAGATCTGGGTTAATAAAAAGTTTATCTAATTAGAGTTAAAAAATGTTAGAAAGACACTCATTTTTTTTTCATTCTCACCACCAATAATTTGGAATCCATATTTTTTAAAGTTATTGTGCATATGCTATTAAGTATTTGGATACTATGAATATTGATCATCAACTTTTTTTTCAAATGTCATTGTTATTATTATTTTTTAATTAATCTATTTATTTATTTTTAGTTTTCAACATTCATTTCCACAAGATTTTGAGTTTCAAATTTTTTCCCATCTCACCCCTCCCCCCAACCCAAGACAACATGCATTCTGAATACCCCTTCCCCTAATCTGCACTCCCTTCTATCACCCCGCCCTTCTCTTATCCCCTTCCCTTTGTATTTTCCTGTAGGGCAGGATAATTTCTATACCCCAAGGCCTGTATATCTTATTTCCCAGTTGCAGATCATCAACTTTTAAAGATAAACCAATGTGGGGGCAGCTAGGTGGCTCAGTGTATACAGCAATTGGCCCTGGATTCAGGAGGACCTGAGTTCAAATTCTGCCTCAGACTCATAACACTTGCTAGCTGTGTGACCCTGGGTGAGTCACCTAACCCCATCGCCTAACCCCCTCCCCCAAAAAAAGATAAAGCAGTGTGTGCAAACTTCACCATCACAAAAAAAAATAGAATGGAAGTTATTAATCTTTTTTAGTGTCATGAACACCTTTAGAAATCTAGTGAAGCTTATGGAACTCTTCTTAGAATAGTAAGTTGATTAGTTTCAGTTGTGTTCAACTCTTTGTGACCCCATTTAGGGTTTACTTAGCAAAGATACTGGAGTGGTTTGCCATTTCCTCCTCCAACTTATTTTTACAGATGAGGAAACTGAGGCAAACAGGGTTACATGACTTGCCCAAGGTTACACAGCTAGTAAGTGTCTAAGGCCAGATTTGAACTCAAGTCTTCCTGACTCCTGACCTGGAACTTTATTCACTGTGCCACCTAGCTGCCCCTTCTTAGAATAATGTCTTCAAATGCATAAAGTAAAAGCCATAGTATTAGAAAGTAAACAAATTATATTGAAATAGAATTATCAAATATTCTTAAAAACAAGTTCAAGGATCCCAGGTTAAAAACTCCTAGAGGGTGAGAGTCCTAAGAAAATGCTATAAACTCGCTTCTTCCATACTAGACACTGTTTTGTTTCCCAGCCCTAAGATCTGCTTTCCCACACAGCCCAACTCTTCTGTCTGACCTTTCACATCAAAGAGCTACTGGATCAAACAGGTACTTAACAAGGAAACAAAACAAAGGCAGAGTGACTGCAGCTATGGAGCTCTCAAAACCACATGAATTTTGCAAACATTACCAAGATACAGTAAAAGACAAACCAAGTCTCCATAAATCTATTTGGTATAAATCCCAAATGGTTTAAAAGTGCCCAAGTTATTAATATGGAATAAGTCTGTGTTGTTATTAAATTGCTAACTCAAATGTATTTCTATAAATAGATGAGGATATAAAACTTAAGAATGTGAAAAAGGTAGAAAAAAGTCACAAAAAAAGATAAGGAAACTATAATAACGAACTTTTCCTTTTTCAGTTAGAAAAAAATAATCAATTATATATGCAATGTACTTAGATTTTTAACTTCTTTTATCCATTCCCCATTTCTCCAGTCAACTGTTACATAAATAACAGACCTAAAGTATATAATTTTTTTAAAGTTTTATCATAGGGTAAATTATAATCTCTGCACATAGAGATAGTGATCAACGTGGTAGCTACAAAATTCCGGAATAGAAAAGAGTAAGGTTTCCTAGGGGTCCATTGGCTAAAACCCAAGTAGATCCATAAAATATCCTTTTAATTTACCTTGTAGTGAAAAGTGGAGATCATCGATGCCAGAGGAAAGCTGTTCATCTTTGGTAGGAGGCATAGGCCCAGATGCCATTCTTTAATGCTATGGAGATGATACCATGTCCTCTGAAGTTAAGGAACAGAGCTGAAAGGAAAATGGGGGAGGGGGAGATACATTAGTAATGTCACAGTTCAGAATGTCTAGTAAAAATACGCACTACCAAATACGCAAGAGAAAAGCCTCCTGTCTTGAACAAACAGGTTTTTTTTTCCTCTTAAGGTGTTTCCTTAGTTTATAGGGGGAAAGTGGCTACACCTTCTTTTTACAATAATAATCCAGTCTTTGCCCTATGACTCCATTCATGTTCTCTGGAATTGCTGGCAGAACTCCCAAAAGAACTAAAATGTGGATTCTGAAATGACTTGTCATGAGAAGGAAACTCCAGCAATTAGAAAAATTCAAATAGGTTGTCCAAAGGAAGTGATGTTAACATCAGCTGATAATATCTTTGGCTATTTTGTTTCTGTCCCCACTTCAAGGACTTTCTTTAAAATATTGTATCTCATTGAATTCCTTTCTTGCTCAGTAGCTATTATAATGCCTTGGAAACAATAGAAGCAGAGCCTTGGAGAGCTTAGGAAATGAAAGTAACAAAGAATGTTTCAGACAAAACTATTCTACTGGGTCTCTTTGCTCCGCTTCCCAAGGTCTTATTTTCTGTATTTGCGTGTTCCTTTTCCCTCCAAGACTAATCTCATCTTTAATTTTGCGTCAAATAATCTACTCCTCCCCCCACCCCCGCCTCATGCAATCAGTTCTGATGCCTAGCTTCATATGTACGAAGTTAGTATTTATTATTCAGGAGGCAGGAATTAAAACACTTCTTCTGACACTGATATTTTGAAGCAAAATATAATATAAGCCAAAGCCAATAGCTAAGCAGAACTGAACAACTAATTGGCCATTTTCAATAATAAATGGAGAAAGTTATGTGTAATGATAATTATAAATTATATTATAAATATTACTATGAATAATAATAACATTGCACCCACAGAATTTGATAAGAATGTTTCTAAAAGTTAGAACAGCAGTGTGGTATAATGAATAGAGAACTAGTGTAGTAAGGAGAGACTCAGGTTCAAGTTCCACTTCTGACATACGTGGGACTATGTGACAGTGGGCAAATAATTTAATCTCTCAATACCCTGGGCAACTCCCTAAATTGTAGACCAAGTGGTGACCTTCACTGATTGGTAGAGGGAATAGCTTTCTCAATGGGAGTTCCCTATACCAATGAAATCATAGGCCAAGACAAAGAAAAAAGTTAGGTTTCATCATTAAATGTGCTCAGGGGTAATTAAAATTCTAAAGAACATTTTCTGAAAACTGTTAGGTGGTACTGGATACATAATATAATAGAATGTAAGCTCTGAGGATTGGGACCCTCTAAGGGTAGGGACCGTTTGTATTTTTGTCTCTGTGTTAATGACGCTTAACAAAATGCCTGGTACCATATCTGGTAACACAATGGTTGGTAAGAAATGCTTATTGAACAGAATTAAACAGGAAAGACAAGTAAAAAAAAAAGGTTTATTTATTTTGTTTTCAGACATTTATTTTTTGAAGAAAATGTTAAAAATCCAAACTACTAACAAGAACACATCTTAAATTCTTGGATGTTTTGTTTTTACTGTCACTTGTATTTAAATTGAACATTTAAATGGTACATCTTTACATTTAGCAACATCGGAGCTGGAATTAAGCATTACTACACTAATTAATATTCCTTGATATCAAATGCCCCTGTTATAAAAGGTCACCAGTCACTGAAATTTCACTTTAAAAAAAAGTGTACCATTAGTTTTTTAGGGGGTTTGTGGGGTTTTTTTGAGGGGGGGTTCTCTTTTTTTATACTAAGTTTCCCTATCTTGCCCAGGCTGGAAAGGCAGTGACCATTATAAACATAATTCAATTCCACTGCTTGCTGATTAGCATGGAAGCTTTGACCTGCTCCAATTTTGACCTGGGCCAATTTGCCCATCCTGAGGCAATCTAGTGCCCTCTCCATGCTAGCAGCTTACTATATTGGTACCAAACTTAGTGTGGACATTTAATCATCTTTAGACCTACTGCAGCTTGGAACTCCCAAACTCAAGCAATCTACCAGCCTCAGCAGCAGGGACTACAGGCATTCAACACATCATTGCTGCCCAGTGTATCATTAATAATGAGCCCTGGACAAGGATGCTAATTCCAACCTTTTGTCCTAAGTTACTTAAAACAATGTAAAGAAACAAACTAGGGAAAGGTTTTCATTTTATTTGTGCCTCATCTTCTTCATAAGAAATTAAGAATAGTACAGAAAAACCTACTAATACAGTTTTTCACAAGATCAAGAAACTTTTCTCAGCAGGGCTTATATGTTAGTTTTCCTGATGATGGAATAAAATTCTTTTTTCTGTGTAAATTGCAAAACACACATATAAACTTCTTTAAAGTATTAAGACAGCGAGAAAACAAGTAGGCTATAAAATTACATGTCTGCATTTTTAAAGCAGAATGATAAGGAAGTTTTTGCTTCTTAACCCCCAACCAATGGAATTTTACTAGCACACAGATAATTAAAAAACAATTCTTATTGAGAAAGATATCAAAAGTAGGAGCAAACTGTAAATAACTGAAAGCAACTGGAAGTGGTATGTTTAAGATCAGATCTCAACCTGAGTAGAATTATGTATCTAAAAGCCATGCTGCAGAAGAAATGAGAATCTAATTATAGCTGATCAAACTATCTTTGATGACTTGCTATTTCTCCACAATAATTGTTTCTGGTATTGGAATGTAGAGGAAGGAATGAGTTGGCCTCTCCAAAGACTGCGTCAACCACATAGGGTCTATGTAAAACTGGTAGAGGATAGCAACTAAAAACTTGGTGAGGTTTCCCAAAACTGTGACTAGAGAGACTAAATGGTCAGTGGAAAGAGGAAGGCAGATGGAGGAGCGGAAGACTGAGCCAGGGAGTTAGCATTTGTCACAGGGGTACTCTAATCAGCTAAAATCCCCAAAGGACTATCCTAATTACTTGTGCTCCACCTGTCCTTTGAGAAATGTCATTCTAAAAGTGAAGAATAATGGGGGCTGCTTCCTTATATAGAAATAATGGTCCCCTCTATTTACTCATGGTAAATGAGGTTCTGATGGCTTTACTTCTCTTTTTGAAATAAAAGTTCGTCACAATATGCCAAGTTGCCATAAACTGCAGAGTTTGAATAACAATAGATCTTGCAGTTAACATGTCCTATTGTTTAAAACTGGAAGTCTACCAAGCTAGATGGTATAGGGAGCTCTTTCTGATTTTGAGATCAAAAGGGTTAATCTGCATAGCTGTACGTAACAGAATCCATGGGAAATATGGTATAAGTTTAATAACACGAACTACTTTGAAACAAGTGTGGTTAATTTATACAATATGATTTGATAGACTTGTAATTTTTGGAAACCTGGGAAAACTCATGTATTTCTGTTTTTACAGAGTAGTTCTAAAACATCATTTGAGGTTATGATTGAAATAACATCTATTTTTCAAGCTTGAAAATGTAGGAAAAATAGACCTGGAATACAGGAAGTATGCGTTTTCATGTCAATTTCTCTACTTTTTTGCTCTATTTGCTGTCTTAAAGACTGACCTAATGCCTCAAAGTTTCTGAGTTTCACAGAAATTGCTAGAAAAAAAATTTGAAAGCAACATTTTGTTGGTTAAACGGTTTTCTGTGGCTAACAAGGCCTTCAAAATCTAGAAGTATTAGGGGGGAAAATACTATTTGTGCAAATAAAGGTCATATCTTTTTTACTCAAATGTTGATTAGGAGATGACAAAAAAAGCCAGGAGATATTCTATTTTGATGTTTTTCAGACATGCCTTTAATATGATGATTGAAATGGTTTTTAAGCAAGTATAGCTTCATTCACTGAGAGCCCTTCCTTGTTAATTTTCCTACTTTTCTATAGCATCACTGTTATTTACAATCTACCCAGGACTTCTGAAGGGTTTCTGTCCCTTAGCCAGGGCCCCTAAGTGTAAACAATGGACTTGTCCTAGCAACACATTGATATTATTATTTGATATACTCAGAAGGGCCTCACAACAAAAAGTTTGTGATACTTGAGCAATCCACTTCTAGATGTTCTTTTATGGTTTTTTTCCTATTATTTCTTTTACAAGATGGTTAGGGACCATTCCAAGCAACCCTTTAGGACTACTCCAGATCTTGTTAAAGTTGCCAAACAAATACAACAATAATAACAACACAGCAGACCTAACAACTCAAAAAGCAGAGCCATCTAAGACTATTTAGGGTAAGAACAATAACATAAAAGACTCTTAAAAATTTCTGAGAGCATTACTTCTCTACTGTGCATTAGATCATAGCAAAAAAAAAGGTGATGATTATTAAAAATAACTTACATTTTTATAGCCTTCATTGCTCTCTATTTGAGCCTCACAGCTACCCTAAGAGGTAGTGCAGTTGAAGAAAATGAAGTTCAAAAAGGTCAAATGATTTGCTCAAGGTCATATCACTATTAAGGATTGTAGATGAGGTCTTCTGGACTCCTTTTGGATAAGAATTAGAGTAGATGTCCACTGAAGTTCCTTCTAATTCTAAAATTCTATGATTCTATAATTATACCACTTTAACTTTGGGCAAGCAAGAAGAGGTTAAATTATGTTCATTAATTTCATAAAGTAGGAAAGTATATTTTTAGAAATATTTCCAATAATTATTAATTTTTTAAAATGTAACTAACTGCCCAAAGGATTTTGTTTCATTTTTCTGAAAAAACAATATATGTAGTTTGTAATATTCAAGTCAATGAATATCCATATGCAGTATACTGTAATGGTAAGAAATAATGGTTTGACATCAGGAAGAAATGGGTTTAAAACTTGCCTCTGGGGGCAGGTAGGTGGCACAGCGGATAAAGCACTGGCCCTGAAGTCAGGAGGACCTGAGTTCAAATCCAGCCTCAGACCAAACACTTGACACTTACTAGCTGTGTGACCCTGGGCAAGTCACTTAACCCCAATTGCAAAAAAAAAAAAAAAAAACAAAAACTTGCCTCTGACACTTACTAGCTGTGGG